TATTATTACGATTCTTCTGTCAAATGAATTGGCTTTTTGGGGTTTTTATCATATTTAAAAAGTCACCAAACGTCACAGAAAATTGTCGCCCAAGTAAAATTTTCAGATTCCAGTGGAATCACAAGTGGGCATGGCCACAGTACTCTCTATCCCCCACTAACGTGAGATAGGAGAAACCATAGGTTGTAGAGATCTGAAACTCTGTATGTAGGTAAATCAAGAAAAAAAAGTCTCTTGGAGGTACCCTCTAAAATGCACAGGGGGACAGCCATTTTTGGGTCAAATTTTGACGATTTTTCAATTTAACTCACGTCAAACTTTAACAAAATCCTCCTAGGGATTTTGACCCATCACCTTCATTCTTGGTCAGGATGCAGCTAAGGGGTGGGGCTTTAAAAGTTATCAAAACGGGGACTTTTTGTATATGTTGAGAGGGCGTGGCTGGGAGCCCAAGTTGACGTAATCGTCAAAGAAAACAAAAAGCTACAACTTTCACATACAAAGGTCAATTGGCACCAAACTTGGCATGAGTGATCTTGGTTGGATGTCGTCATAGTCTGACATCATCTAAGCCCCACCCCTCAGTATAGGAAGTGACTTGTGACTATTTTTATTTGGAAATCTCTATCTCTGACCCCCTTGAGCTAATCAACATGATCTTGTGTCAGAAGACAGATGACAACTTGGTCTCACTTGCTTTAAAACGCAAAGAGATTTTGATGGGCGTGGCAAAGTTACAGGTTGCCATACATTTGGCTCTAAATTCTCCAGATTTGAAACAAGCTGCACCAAATTCACTGTGATCGATCCATGTCTGACCCCCGATGGAAATCCACAACAATCTTTGGTGGGCATCGCCTAATATCTCTACATTGCTCCCTAGAATATTTTAAATGATCAGCCCCAAGCCATGCTTTAACCCAGAATTATGAAACTTGTTACATGTGCATCTTGTCAGGATCTATAAAAAAGTCTCTTGGAGCCATGGTCCAAACCCAGCAGGAAGTCGGCCATTTTGGATTGATGCTGCCATTTTCTCTTTTGTATAGATGAACTCATCCTATAGCTTTTGAAATATTGTCTTCAAAATCACTCAACATACTCTTCAGACATTGAAGGTCAAACATTATCAAAGGATTTGTCGTACATCAAAGCAAACTTTGTCAAATTTTTGACTATTCGCCATAAAACAGCAAGGTTCAATAACTTCCGCATGCAATACAGACCAGCCCTCATCACATTTACATGGTCAACTGATGACATCACCTTAGCCCCACCGACTTCCAATAGGAAGTCACCTGTTTTTTCTGCATAATGTCTTACTTTTACTCTTTGATTCATATGGGTTTAAACCCAGGCCAACTGACATAAAATGACATGATGATGAATTCTGTCATGGCGGATTGGCCGTATGCATACGGTCACCTCTAAATAATACAGGCATCATCAGATTTGCACCAAACTTTTTATGATTGACTTTTGTGAACCTCTAAAGAGCCCAATAGCATTACATTGTAATTTGACTCCACTGCACCCACTAGGTTATTCCATCAGCTATATCTCCTCACTGCATCGGCCGATGTGCACCAGATTTTTCGTGCGTCATCAATGAGCGTTGCCAAACGCATTCATGTGTATCACTTGGTGGACAGGTGCGGGAACTGTGTGAGAGCATCTGCAATGGCTGGCAGGCAGCGGTCGCAGGAGGCTGGAGCAGCGCTGAGCTGCAAGGGCCGTTTGAGGCTGCTTGCAACTTTAATTTCGCTTAGAAATGCAGTTTTATTCAATTGTATTCATAGCAAATGTAATCTTTTTTTGGGGGGAGGTACCGTGGTGGGGCAACGGTAAACCACAACCCATGTATGGAGGACTTAGTCTTTGGTCGTCATAGATTCGAGTTCTGGCCTGATGACCTTTGCCACCTGTATTCCCCCTCTCTCATTACCCACTTTCCTGTCTGACCACTAGAGCCACAAAAAACCTTAAAAAAAACTAAGGACCCCAAAGGCAATATGTAAAGTTTAAAAAACCAGCAGAAATAGAATAGAGGTCAACGGATCTATAGAAGAGCATTCTCCTAAATGAGCAGAAAAGCTTCTATTCATCAGGAAGAATTTGAACCACGATGAAATGCCCTTCGAGACCAACCATCTGCTCAAGTCTGAAAAGTACAATCATTGGCATAGCTTTCTAAAGGACTGGTGTGGATATGTCCCCATCAACTTTGGCCTAGCAGGGACAGTCTCCACCAATATTTTGAACACCTTTTCTCCTTTATTAGCCTGCATCTGTTTGCAGACAGTAACTCGGCAGCAGCTGCACACTGTTTTTAAAGCATTAACAGCCAGTGCATGACTGCTTTTTAAAATTATTTCAATCTGTAGAGACTCACACAGAGAGAGAAATAGCAGTTAGACAATTTTATTAGACCGAGAATTTGGTGCTCGAACACTGGCAGAAGACATGCAAGCTGAGACTCGCTGCGAGCTTGAGTGATCAGCTGCAACAAAGCTCAGGTAAGTTTTCCCTGGGCCCGGTCATTGGTGGTGGAGCTTGGAGGGGAGTCTTGATAGGACCTGAGGTGTTCAGGAGGCTGATTGTGGAGATGGGGAGGAGGTGGGTTGAAACACGACTGAAGCCATCTTGAAGCACAACTGAACCGGGTGGACCTATGGCTGCTTCACCTTTTAAAGGAGCTTCTGCTGGATGATTGGACTGAAGCGGAGCGGTGGAGCATCCTGGTTGGCTGCAGTGAAGGCGTGGTGATAGATGATGTCGGTTAAGGAGAATAGTCTCACAGTTTGAACTTGTACTGAAGGCTTCATTTTGTAAAAGATAAATGGCAAGTTTTCTCAGTGATCTATATTATTGGATTGGACATCACATGACTTACTATGGTAAGGCTGCCACCTTATCGTGGTGGAAGGGTTTGAGTGTCCCAGTGATCCTAGGAGATATAATGTCTTGGGCTTTATGGCCACCTGTGAGAGAAGCCAAGGGGTTGGGTGCAGTGTGGGATGGGTGGTAACTGAGGGCGGGGACATTGGCGATCCAATAATCGGCTACAGAAGCTGGCTCTTGGGATGTGAAATGTCACCTCTCTGGTGGGGGAGGAGCCTGAGGTAGCTTGTTAGCATAAGCTAGAAATAGCCGGCCTCACCTCATGGCTCTGATTCTGGAACCAGTCTCCTTGAGAGGGGTTAGATATTCTTCGACTCTGGAATTGCCCCTAGTGAGAGGCCCTAGGCCGGAGTGGGCATACTTTTTCTCCCCAATCTCTGTGCCTTTATGTGGGAGTTCACCCCGGTGAATGAAAGGGTAGCCTCGCTCCTACGAGTGGGAGAATGGGTCCTGAATGTTGGTTGTGCTTACGCGCCGAAGAACGGTTCAGATTACCCACCCTTTTTGGAGTCCTTGGCAGGGAGTCCTTGGATGCCTGCCAAGGGGAATGCCCCTCCAGGGGACTCCCTTGTTCTGCTGGGGGACTTCAAGGAAGGTCATTTATTTATTGTAGCATATTTTCAGCAACAAGGCAGTTCAAAGTGCTTCAACGCACCAGTGGGCAATGACAGTTGGACCTGGAGGGGTGTGGTTGGAAGGAATGACCCCACTGATCTGAATCCGAGTGGTGTTCTGTTGTTGGACGTCTGTGTTTATGGTGGATTGTCCATAATGAACACCTTGTTCAGGCATAAGAGTGTCCATATGTGCACTTGGCATCAGGACAACCTAGGTTCGATGACCAACTTTGTCATTGTCTCATCATATCATTGTCTCATCATTGTCTCACATGTCTTGGACACTCCAGTGAAGAGAAGTGCGGAACTGTCCACTGATATTGAATTATATGACCAACTCCATATTACTTAGTAGTCATATTTCTTTGCTGGTATTACTTGAAAATTGTGCATTTTCAGTTCAATTCTTCATCTATATGCAAATACTTCATATAATGTAAACAGTGGTATAAGGGAAAAACGGTTTGAAATGTAGAGTATTACAAAAAAATACAATTTTACCTGAAGTACAAACAGGATAACAAAATGAACAGTGAATATATAATATACTTCCTAGCAGTCACTCTGGAGGAGAGGGGAAGTCTGGCTCAGCTCAGTCCAGGATGACTCTAGTGACAGGGTAGCTATTGAAGTCTGCAGGTAGACTTTTGAGTATCTGGTCCTCTGGTTTTGGCTCAGAAACACATCATGAGGTGTTACAATGCAAAATTGAAAAATTAGAAACAAAATATAACTAATAAGTGTTCATATTTAGCCTCACAACATAATCAAAAATGAATAAACCCTAAGCTCTTTTTGATAGTTTTGCTTGAAAATAAATTTACAGTATCTCAAGAAATTAAATGTTTAAGTAAAATAGTTCCTGCATTGCAATAAAAGAAACTGCAGGAAATGTTTGAGCTGTAACAACACTGAAGTTACTGAGTAAAAGCAAACTGAAATATTTACTACTCAGAAAATGCCTATTAAAATCTGAGTATTCTTTTGTATTATTATTATTATTATTATTAGTGGTAGTAGTATTTTGAATATGTAGCTGAAAGTAATTTAAACTAGAGAAATTGCTGCTCCTAGTGAAACAGCCGTGAGAATGCATATTTGCAGAATGATTACTGCAGAAAATGCAAGAAAAAGCAGAACAAAGCATAAAAAGCAGGGGGAAAAGCAGAAGACAGCTACAGTCATACATGGTGGAAATCTTTAGATAAAGAGTGAAATTTAGCCTAAGATATAGCACAGATTAGCAGAAGCAGTAATTAGTATAAAACCTGAAATAGTTGAAAAAGTTGAATAGTAAAACATAGGAAAAGAAATAGCATAAAGTAGCAGAAGCAGAAATTAGTATAAAACCTGAAATAGTTGAAGAAATTGAAAAGTAAAACAGCAAAAGAAATAGCATAAAGTAGCAGAAGCAGAAAAGTTGAAGCAGAAATTAGCATATAGTTTATAATTTCTGCTTCAACTTTTTGTTTTACTTTTCAAAAAGTTGAAAAGTAAAACATAGCAAAAAATAGCATAAATTAGCAGAAACCGAAATTAGTATAAAACCTGAAATAGTTGAAAAAGTCAAAAAGTAAAACATAAAAGAAATAGCGTAAATTAGCAGAAGCAGAAATTAGTATAAAACCTGAAATAGTTGAAAAGTAACACATAGCAAAAGAAATAGCATAAATTAGTAGAAGAATTTAGTATAAAACCTGAAATAGTTGAAAAAGTTGAAAGTAAAACATAGCAAAAGAAATAGCGTAGATGAACAGAAGCATAAATTAGTAAGCAACCTGAAATAGTTGAAACGTAAAACATAGAAAAAAAGCACAAATTAGCAGAAGAAATTAGTATAAAACCTGAGATAATTGAAAAAGTTGAAAAGTAAAACACAGCAAAAAAGCACAAATTAGCAGATGAAGCAGAAAAGTTTGATATATGAATTGTTAAAATTGATTAAAGTTTGCAGAAGACCTTTGTAGACAGTAAAACCAGTAAAGCAGAAGGCATATACCAAAAGGTAGACAAGCAGAATGCTGACGCACAGATATAAACAGAGCACAACAGAAAAATACATTGAAGGAATAGGAGAAGGGGTGACATGTCTGTACTCCAGAAGTGTTTGACAGAAAACAGTAAGACCTGTAGCAATGATAGTTCCTTAAAGTAGACATTCATGGCTACGTTTTAAAGCATAAATTATTCCTGTACAGGTAAATATGTATGAACAGCATCATTTTGTTTGTCAAAAAGCATGAAAAGTCCAACAATTGTCAGTTACTAGAATGTACACTAACTGACAGTTAGAATTCTCTAACAACAGTTACTGTTGCAGTTCTATCAGCTCAAACCAGTCTGGTCTTTCTCCTTTGACCTCTGGCATCAACAAGGCAATTGTGCCCACAGAATTGCAGCTCACTGGATATTCTCTGCAAATCCTAGAGATGGTTGTGCGTGAAAATCCCAGTAGATCAGCAGTCTCTGGAAAAACTCAGACCAGCCCGTCTGGCATCAACTACCATACCATGTTTGAAGTCTCTTAAATCACCTTAAATCTGATACTCGGTTTGAAATGCAGTAGATCGCCTTGGCCATATCTACATGCCTTAATGCAGTGGTTTCCAAACTATTTCTGGGCCCCCCCATGGCTTACTTACTTACTGTCTGGTTGAACGATGTGTGTGAGCGAAGAGGGGGGTGGGGGGTGGATTCTTAGAGACTCCCTGTTATACTTAACCCCTGCTCCAGATGAACAGAGGCGGGGGGGATCAACTTTTTTGGGGGCAAAATGAATTGTAGCTGAACATAGACAACAACACCAGTAGCCTACAAGCTACTTGTTAACAAGCTTAACCCTTAGGAGTATTGGGTCTAAATGGCCGGGCTACAGCAGCAGAAGACCACACCTGGTGCAACTTCTGTCAGCTAAGAACAGGAAACTGAGGCAACAATTCACACAGGCTCACCAAAATTGGACAATAGAAGATTGGAAAGATGTTGCCTGGTTTGATGAGTCTTGATTTCTGCTGTGACATTCAGATGGTAGGGTCAGAATTTGGCGTCAACATCATGAAACCATGGATCCATCCTGCCTTGTATCTACGGTTCAGGCTGGTGGTGGTGTGCAGTGGTGTAGGGGATATTTTCCTGGCACGCTTTGGGCCCATTAGTATCAATTGAACATCAATTCAGCCTCAGGTGACCAAAGCGCTTCACAACAAACACAACATCACAGGTAGATAAAATTGCATTGTGTCAATGCCACAGCCTACCTGAGTATTGTTGCTGACCATGACCATTCCTTTATGGAAGTAGCCATCTTCTGATGGCTACTTCCAGCAGGATAATGCACCATGTCATAAACTGTGAATTATCTCAGACTGGTTTCTTGAACATGACAATGAGTTCACTGTACTCAAATGGCCTCCACAGTCACCAGATCTCAATCCAATAGAACACCTTTGGAATGTGGTGGAATGGGAGATTCAGAACATGGATGTGCGTCCAACAAATCTGCAATAGCTGATGCTATTATGTTAATATGAACAAGACTCTCTGATGAATGTTTCCAGAGTGTCTGGAAACATTCAGTACCTTGTTGAATCTGTGCCACAAAGTATTAAGGCAGTTCTGAAGGCAAATGGGAATCCAGCCCGCTACTAGCAAGGTGTACCTAATAAAGTGGCCAGTGAGTGCATAGTGATAATTCTTTACAAAAAATATTAGTGAATTTTGCAACTGTTTTCAGCTGCGGGCAAGCACCAAGAAAATATACAGACTCATTCCATAAATTAGAATATGACTGAAAAGTTCATTTTTAATAATTCCATCACTAAGAGAAAGAAATTATATAGATTAATTAGATGACTTATGTTTTAACATCTTTATATTTCTTAGTATGTTAAATAGCTGCTAAAAGGTACTATTAATCTGACAATCCCCATCAGGGTGTATTGAATAAGACTATGTGGCATTCATAAAGTGGGGAAAAAAGTATTTAGTCTGCCACTATTTATGCAGGTTCCCCCACTTAAAAAGATGAGAGAGGCCTGTAATTGGCATCAAAGGTAGACTTCCACTATAAGAGACAAAATGTGAAAACATATCTAGAAAATCACATTGATTTTTTTAAAGAATAAATTTGCAAATTATGGTGGAAAATAAGTATTTGGTCAAAAATAAAAGTACATCTCAATACTTTATGTATCCTTTGTTGGCAATGGCAGAAGACAAACAATTTCTGTAAGTCTTCACAAGGTTGGTCCTAGAGGTGTGCCGATCGATCGGCCACCGATCATAATCAGCCGAAAAAGTTTATGATCAGTGATCGCCGATCACTCTGTTGTTGCCGATCACCAAAACCGATCACATTTATCTCACTTCGCAGCCTGTGTGCAGCTTATCTCCTCTTTCCTTCACACTGCGAAGGTGCGCAGCAACAAATCCTGTTGTGTGGAACTATAACACTCTGAATGAATGGGGACGTGTGCGTGTTCAGCGGAAAATTACCTTGTGAGTGAAGCACGTCAAAATGCATCAACACAACGAATCTAATATGGCATTTAAAAAACAAGCACTTGACGGAGTTTGGCTACATTGAGGCTCAATGGAGGACAAAAAGGACATCCGGAGCGGCCAGATACCGAGTAAAGCAGCGCACAACTACCAACCCTCACCCAGATTAGCATCACAGTCAGAAAGCGAAACAAATAACCCGAAAAATATTTCAAGTCTTCAAGCTGGCAGTGTAAGACGCTGGTTCTGCTCTTGCTCTTGGACCGCCGCTTCACGCTACTGTTAGTAATATTCAGTGGCGCAACTACACATTATTCAGGTGGATGCGAAAACATAAATCGGCGCTACCCCCATCCCTCTCTCCCCAGAAGGAAGGTTGAAGGAGCGTGGAAAACATACGCTCGCTCTACACTACCCCCTCCCCCCCCAGAAGACGTTACGTGAAAGGTAAAACTCGCTACATTTACCTCGTAACATGCGTGAGGTGAAGGAGCGTAAGGCGCGCTGAAGTGTATAGGAAAACATAATCAGCGCGCCGCCCCATCCAGACGGGGTTTGGACGCCCCCTCTGGTGCTGCGCCCCTATGCGTTGCATGCGCTGCATACCCCCTTTGTGCGCCACTGGTAATATTTCACAGACGGAGCGCTGCTGACCAGACAGTGAGCTCTCACACCGGACGTCTGTTTAAAGATGCAGCATGTAACATACATATCTAAAATCTTTTTTTTTTTTTATTATTACAACATGTTTGTTATGTCTAAATTAGGTGAATTTATTGCCAGATAATTTTTCCATTTTGCCAGATAGCATGGTATAATTTATACTTAAACCAAATAATTTACAGCCGTTCCAGGCGATTGACAAAGATCAGTAATCGGCAAATATCGGCCTCATGGATGGTCCGTATCAGAAAAGGCAGCAAAAACCTGATCGGAGCATCCCTAGCTGTAACTGGAATTTTAGCACATTTATCCATGCAGATCCCTTCTAGAGCAGTGATGTCTTGGGGCTGTTGCTGGGCAACACAGAATTTCAACTCCCTCCAAAGGGCTCTATGGGGTTGAGATTTGGAGACTGGCTAGGCCACTTCAGGATCTTGAAATGCTTCTTACAAAGCCACTCCTTCATGGCGGTGTGCTTACGATCACTATCATGCTGAGGTATGGTGTTCTTTGGATGCAACTCAGCATTCACTCTCCTCCAAACATGACGAGCTGTGGATTCTGTCAAACAGTTTCATCTGACCATATGGTTTCATCTGACCATATGGTTTCTTTCATCTGACCATATGACAATTCTCTCAACACTCTTCTGGAACATCCAAATGCTCTCTAGCAAACTTCAGACGGCCTGGATATGTACTGCGATTTTTGCTCACCGTCCTTGTGATCATTTTGACCCCACAGGGTGAGATCTTGTGTTGAGCCATGATTG